GCGCACAACCCAACGGGCTTTGTATCGTTCGAGGGTGCCGTCGGCGTGAGTTTTATGTTGGAAACCCCATTTTCTGGTGATGATGTTGGCGCGCGGAGGACGGGTCACGAGCCCCCATGTGTGATTGCCGACGAGGGCGGCGAACTCGTCGCGCATGGCGGCGAGCCAGTTGGGGTCGCTCAGGGCAGATCGCACCGACTTGGGGAGCAGCGAGATATCCGGCGAGGTTCTGGAAGTGGTGACCAGCACGTAGTCATCATACTGCTTGTTGGGGCGGAAGACACCGGCACAGCCACGAGTGAGTGGCCCAGCAGCGACCGGCATGGTGGGCGCCGCGAAGGGAGCAGAGCCCGGCAAGGACGATGCAGCAGAGGCACTTGGCGTCGAGACGGCTCGGCCACTGGATGATGATCGGACGGAGCCGCTTGAATCAGGAGTGTGTGCGCCACGCGGAGACGCCGGGGCACCGTCAGATGCTGATCGGGCGCTCTCGCTTGAATCAGAAGCGAGCGCGCCATGTGGAGACTCCTGGGCACCATCAGATGCCGATCGGGCGCTCCCGCTTGGTGCAGGAGACAACACCACGGGAGAGACGGCCAGAGCGGCGCTAGGGCCACGGAGCACCTACAAAACGGGTGAAGCAGCAGCAGGCGGCGGTGTAGGAGGCGGGGCTGGGTTAGGAGCGGCGAACGGGAAACTGAGCTCATCAAAATGAACATGCCGAGAGGTGAGCACAGGCCGCATAACGTGGTCAAAAGAGCGATACCCGTGATGATCAGCAGGGTAGCCGAGGAAGACGCACGCGACCGATCGAGGCGTGAGCTTGTGAGCAGCCGTGGAGGAAGTGTTTGGAAAACACAAGCAACCGAACACATGCAAGAGGGAGTAGTCAGGGCGAGTGCCAAGTAGAAGCTCATGCGGTGTCACCGGTGAGCTCGAATGACATGGGCGCCGGTTCTGGAGGTAAGTGGCAGTTCTGAGAGCCTCGGCCCAAAATCATGGAGGCATGGAGGCATGAAAGAGGAGCGAGCGAACCCCATCATTAAGTGTACAAAGGGAGCGTTCGACCTTTCCATTTTGTTGACTCGTGTAAGGACAGGAAAGACGAAACGCAGTACCGTGAGAATCAAGAAGCGATCGCACGGCAGCGTTGTCGAATTCTCGACTATTGTCAGTTCGTAGGGCAAGAACAGGACGCTGGAATTGTGTATGAACATAGGCAAAAAACGAGCGTAGAATAGCGAGCACATCAGATTTTCTTTGGAGTGGGAAAGTCCACACGTAATGAGTGAAATCGTCAAGTATCACAAGGTAAAATCCATATCCTGATATGCTTACAATGGGAGAAGTCCAGACATCTAAATGCAACAACTGAAAGGGAAAGAAACTATGCGACGTCGAGGCATGAAAGGAAGGCGTGTATGCTTGCCGAAATGACATGCCCGACAAGTGTGTGGAGTGGAACTGCTGCAGTTGAAGGGGTCCTGGCGGAGCGAGGCGACGTGTGGGTGCTCAAGACGCTGGTGCCAGAGGTCTATGGTGACCGCGCCAGCGAAAGCAGAGCACGGTGGAGCCGAAGAGGATCCAGCAACAGAGTGGAGATCACCGGTCGAATCACTGCGCAGAATCACTCTCCGGGTGCGGCGGTCCTTAACAGAGAAACCAAAGTCATCAAACTCCACATTGACAGTATTATCACGACAAAGTTGATGAACTAACAGAAGATTCTTAATAAGAGATGGAGACAACACGACATTACGAAGGATAAGCAGAGAGGAAGTGGTGATGAGAGAGCCTGTGGCGACATGAGTGATAGGAAGGTGATCACCGTTACCGAGGATGATGGAGGAGGCAGTAAGAGAGGGACGGATGTTGTGAAGATTACCAGGAGATGAAGCCATGTGCGTTGTGGCCCCCCGTGTCGAGGTACCAGTCAGACGTGCTCCCGGGCGATGACGAACCGGCAGTGGCACTGTGGAGCGCGGCCTAGAGGGAGCTCATGTCCCACGCGGGCGCGGGGCCGGGTGGTGGGGCGGGACCAGCAGGAGCAGCCCCCGGAGGCGCGTAGTTGTTGTAGTAGCCGTCGTAGCCGTACAGTGGTGGTGGCGTGGGGGAGCAGTGGCCAGCATGGCCTGCTGGTGGGGTGTGCCAGGGCGCGGCCCAAGCATGCCGGCACCCGGAGCACGCCAGGCGACAGGCCAGGACTGGACAAGCCCGTCCATGAGCTGGACCCGGGAGCAGGGGCGGGGTAGCCAGGTGCCCGGGGCGGGAGTGGAGCCGGCGGAGGGGCGGCCCCCCCATTCCCACGGCCGCGCTTCTTACCGCGTCCGCGCCTACGAACGGCGCCAGGGGGATCACCAGTTGGAGAAGGAGGCGGGGGCGAGGCGGGAGTGCTATGCCCAGCCACCAGCGCATGCGCCGTCTGCAGGCGCACGGATTGCTCGACGCGGTGCTCCTCGAGCATGAGGAAGGCGCGAGTCTCCAGGAAGGTGGGGAGCGGCACACGGGCGGTGATGTGCGGGATGGCATGATGGTGCTGACGACCAAGACCACGCAGAAGATGGAATACCTGGTGGGTCTCGGTGACGGGTTGCCCCAGATCACGGAGCTGATCAGCGTAGAGCTTCAACTTTGTACAGTACTGCATAATGGACATTTCGCCCTGGACGACGGCGTGGTACTCTGCGTCGACGTAGACGGCGCGCGAGAGGTGGTTGGCGATGAAGAGCTCGCTGGCGGCAGTCCAGACAGCGAGAGCGGGGTCCTCGGGCTGCATCACCGCATCGAGCAGCTCCGGGGCGATGGTGGAGTACAGCCAATGGACCACCGCGTGATCTGCCATGAGCCACTCGGGGTCGTCTGGGCGGGAAAGGGTTGTGGTAGAAACGTGGTCGCGAAGCCCGAAAGTGTCGAGGACAGCATCAAAGTGACGGTGCCACTGGGCGTGGTTGCCGGCGTTGAGGTCGAGAATGATCGGGACATGACGCTGGATGTCCACGGTGGGAAGAACAAAGGCAGCCGGGAGGGGAGCGACGCCAACAGGGGCGACCGGCGCAAGGTGGAGTGCAGCCAGAGCCGCGATCGGAGGCGGTGGAACGGCAGCAGGGTGGCCGCCATCATCAGGGAGATCGCCATCATGGGAGGAAGGAGGGGAGTGGTTGTCAAACCCATCCATGGCAGCGGAAGGTGGTTGGTGCGCAAGAGGATTAGGCTCCTAAGCGTCTGATACCATGTAAACGGGAATGAGGTTCAACACACTTTGCATTAGCCATCTAAGGGCGTATATATACAGTTACAGGACGCCATAGAGGCCAGATCGTGTGCCACTACTTGCACGTACACAATGCCCACTCACGCACTACCTAGGCCACGTACAGGCGTGGTGACCATGCACACGCGCACTCACACTCTGTATGCTAACAAAACCCAATGTAATCTTCACATTCTCTACCCTGTCAGCCCTGATCTTCGTCTCCATAACAAAGAGGAGGGCGGGCCCTTCTTGCTTCACCACATTACGAAGCTCGCGAACTACGTTGGGGTTCCCCAGCCCCTGGCAGTTCCAGCTGATGCAACTCATTGGGACGGGCAGCGCTGCTCCGCAGCTGCTGCCGAGTTTTTGGGTGGGGTCTCTTCTTTTTTGGTTCCCTTTCCAACTCCTTCCGTTCCCGGGCATCATCGTCGCCTTCCTCTCCCAAAACACCAACCAGGTTATCATGTTCATGTTGTTTCCCATCGGTTAGGAGGAGAGTTGGCTCGACTCGGTGGTATACCTGCTTTGGTGCCTCTTTCCGTTTTGCATAAGGGCGGGTTTTGACAAGAGAGTTCACCTCTGCAGCATCTCCAATGTTACTTGAATTCTTGGATTCTTGCTTGCTACTCGGGCCTGAATATTGGTCTTTGCTCGTGTTCTCGCCCGAGGCAGATTTCCTTCTCTCTTCCGGTAACCTCAATTTTGGTCAAAATGGTAAATCTCCATTCTTATCCCTAGGACCAGGTGTAGGACAGAACAGATCGGTATGCCCTAGGCGACCACAAGTGAAACAATAGTGAGGCATTGCTCATACTGAACATCATATAACTCTTCCTTCTTCCTCTTGGCCGAATTGATCAAGATCCACCTCCGAAGAGGCTTGTTGACATCAATGGAACCTCTAGCTCTCAAATAGCCCCCTACATGATCGAACTGAACCGATGTTGCGTTCTTGTCAATCTGTTGTGCTACAAACTGCCCCAAGCATCACCCTCAGGTTGTAGGGCAGATTTGGGAACCGAACCCACATGTGGAGTCGGTCAAAAGCAACCTCATCCAGCCTCTTGTGACCCTCAAAGTCAGCAAGTATAACTGCATGTTTACTAACATGCCATGGCGAGCCCGTCCAGATTCTATCACGATTTCTTTGGGTCTCGAACTCTGCCACAAAAGTGTTCTCTCCCATGGATCTGAACTGTAGACCCCTTGAATTCCCCCACGTAGGCTGAAGAGCGTTGGCAATGGTTTCAATATGAAGTAGATTTCGATAGAACCTTGCCTGCCAATAGCCACTTCTTCGACTGCCCATCATCTGCATCATCAATCACCAGAGGCGTGGCCTCTTCATCATCATGCCAAGTTTCCCGAGTGCTTCTTCCAGTTTCGCCCTAGCCGACAGGGGAGAGTCGGGTGCCGTCCCTCCACTCGCGTTTTGGGTTGGTCTAGCCATCCCTCGTCGGAGCTCAAGTGCGGCACACCGATCGAATCGGGCAGCTGCCGTCAAGGTCCACCGCGAAACCATAATCGCGCGAGGCGTTTTTAGGTTTCAAGAGGAAAAACTGTAGCAGTAATTTTCGATTCTCAAAAGAGGAAAGAACGTAACAAAAAAAGGGCTCCTGGGCCGTAGATAAGGAGATACGTATTTTCCCCTCTAAAAATCGGAAAAGAAAAGAAGATTTTATACGCCCTCTATTATCCCCCCCAGCCGCCGTGAAAGCTACCGCCGGCCGGCCGCCGCCGCAACGCCATGTTCCAACTCCGAGCGCGTGACCTCTCTTTCCTCGTCCACTCACCACCCTGTCTCCCCGCTCCCCGCGTCTCTCCCCTCTTCGCCCTTCGCCGCAACCTCTCCGCCACCACATCCGCTTCACCAGGCCCTTTCGCCGCCGAGGACTACCTGGTCGCCACCTGCGGCGTTCCCCGCGCGCAAGCCGTCAAGGCAGCGAAGAAGATATCCCACCTGAAGTCCTCCTCGAAGCCCGACGCGGTCGTCGCCTTCCTCTCCGGCCTCGGCGTCCCCCGCTCCGACATCGCCGCCATCGTCGCCGTCGACCCGTGGTTCCTCTGCGCCAGCGTGGAGAGGACCCTGGCGCCCCGAGTCACCGAGCTGAGGGAGCTCGGCCTCTCGCGCTCCGAGGTCGCGCGCCTCATCCCGCTCGCCCTGTGCTCCTTCCGCAGCAGCTCCCTCAGGGGCAACCTCGACTTCTGGCTCTCGGTCTTCGGCTCCTACGAGAAGCTCCTCAAGGCCCTCAAGATGAACTCCGGCCTCCTCGCCGCCGACCTCGAGAAGGTGGCCAAGCCGAATCTGGCCCTCCTCCAGCAATGCGGGCTAAGTCCCTCTGTCTTCTCGGAGCCCTTCATTTCCCGGGTGCTCATCAGGACCCCCAAGAAAGTCCAGGACGCTTTGGTGCACATTGACAAGTTTGGGGTGTCGCAGAACTCGCGGATGTTCCTCTACGCGCTTGTGGCGTTCACTGTGCAGAGTCCGGAGAAGCTCACCGACAAAATCGGAGTCCTGGAGACGCTTGGTTGGTCGCAGGGTGATGTGCTGCTAGCTGTGAAGACGATGCCGGGTATCCTGACCATATCCGAGGAGAGGCTGCAGAAAAATGTGCATTTCCTCACAAAGGTTGCTGGGCTGGAGATATCTTACATTGCTCAAAGACCGGTGCTGCTCAAGTATAGCCTTGAGCGCCGTTTGTTTCCTAGGTACTGCTTGCTTAAGCTACTCAACACGAAGGGATTGCTGGATCTCCGATTTGATTACAATGCCGCCTCACTGTCCGAGAAGAAGTTTCTTGGCAGGTTCGTGCATCCTTACAAGGAGAGGCTTCCAGGCCTTGCTGATGTTTATGCTTCAAGCTGTGCTGGGAAACTACACATGGAGTTGCTATCAGAGAACACAAAACAAAACTAGAGAATCTACCTTACCTGTCCTGGGTGAGTACCATAGGATGGAAAATGTTAAGGTTTGTCATCCCCCTTGGTCCATTGCTCAAGTTCTGTGCAGTTTTTCTGGAAGTGATCCTCTATAGTGTTATTAACTGATGAAAAAGCATGGTTACAGGTTATCATCTTGCCAGAAATAGAACGTGTAATGAAATTTCTGGGAATGATCATGCTTAACTTCATCTGCACTTGGTTTTATTGTTTCTTGGGCTTTCACTGGCAAATGATTGTGTATTTAGATGCAACTTTACATCTGTATATCTGATTCTAAATGGTTGCATATGGATTTCGATTTTCTCAAAGACATGCATGTGAACATTTAGAAAAGTTATTGAGGTGTTGGCTTCAGCTGTAAAAGATTAATTTTTAGGAACTGGCAAAATTATGTGCTTTCCACGAACCAAGTTGAAATAATTTAGAGCCTACATCACAAAGTATAACTACAAAAAATCAGAGATTCAACATTATACAAGACATGGAATGATTTTTGAAAATGGTGAAGTGCAATATTGTTTTGAAGAGATAGTATTTTTTTCTAGATGTGGCAATAGTAGAATGAGAGAACTTGTTATATTTGGATAGTGTTTAAGCCATTAAGCCCTTTTCGTATTGATAACTATCCCTTTTTTTTTATATAAGTATCCCTTTCGCTACCCTGCACTGGTAAGTACTGCAAAATGAAGAAATGAGATTCGCTCCCCTTATATTCAGAAGAAAAACTAAGGGCGTAAGGGGTGGTATACTAGATTGTATGATTTGAAGTTTGATAGTCCTCTAGTTATTGTACTGGGCGGTTTGCCTAGTTTCAGCTTCTTTGCATGGAAAAGCTAAATTTCACGACAGATGAATGTTTTCTCCAGGAAAGGTTTTCTAGAAACTGGAAACCTGAAGGTTACAATATCAACTCTTTTTTACCGGGTTTGAACTTTAGTTTGATTATCTGGAGGCCAGGTTATAGATTAACAGCAAGTGAGTGGCCATATTATTTGATTGTATTTTTGTATTACAAAACATATTTCCAAAATTCCATCTTCAATACTTATTGCTAAACGTTTTCTTGAAAACTAAAGAATATCTGTAGGTTGAGCTAGCAGCTACAGATAATTATATGGATACTTAGTTACTATGGTAGACTCAAGGATTTCATCAACTCTGGATTAAGGTTTGAAGTTTTAACCACGTGGTAGGACGGTGTAGGTGCGAGCATGTTCATTACTGAAGCCGTTGAGCCTCCTCATTTCCATGCAATTTCAGTCTCTAATGTATTTATGCTACCAAGTTGAAGCTGCTGTTGATTATGGAGATTCTCTTACAATTGATGGTCAGGATAGATGAGCCAACCGAACTATTCATAATCATGCTAATCTCCTGTAGCCAATATGTTGACCCGAATAGAGATCGTCTCAACTAGGGTACATGTGTCATTGTTGCCTAAACAACAACACATACATAATCACACCACAAGCAATATAGCTCAGCACGCAGTAGCGGGCATAACAACATGAGGGCAAACCTTTTGCTCTCAGGATGGATGCCATGGATATGGTGTCCATCAGTCTCTGCTTAACGAGGCTAAAGGGATCAAATTAATTACTCGGACACATGGGTTGCCCAATGCCTCTCAAGTCTGTCCCATTTGCATACAACGTGATCTCTACTGTCTACATATATGGACGATCTCCATTCATCATCAGTAGACTAACTGGGATATAAAGAGGCTTTGAATGTATGTATGCTTATATGTTGGGCATTGCTGCCACAGAGATGCTTCACTGCATTGCATTTATCGGCTAATGTGGATGGACACTTCTTCATTTTCAGCACATGCATGCTGTACTTTCTTCTAGTTATATTGATTTGCTACCTCCATCTTTATTGTAGAACCATATTTATTTTTCTGTGCTCACAGGCATTTGATAAGGTTGCACGCTGACTGTCATGTGCAGAACCTGGTAAAGATCTAGAGAACAGGGATACGACAGTCGCCCTCATCTAGCCGCTTGCAGGGTCTAATTTTCCAAAATATGCATTCTTGTTCGTACCGGCTTAGAAAATACGTGCAGTAACTTGTTCTGGTTAACTACAACTTCTGAATCTTGTATGTCACATTTTGTATGTGTATGCATATATGAATTTGTTAGGCTTGTGGCGCCACAAATATAGTTATCGTTACATGAAAAACACAAGCTTGTTTGCTTCCTAGTAATCATGTGTGCAGGCTCCAAATAATAATAATTTCTCAGCTGCCTAGTCCAATATCTAGTTTGAAACTGAAGATTAACATCCATTGTTTTTCAGCAAGATTTTATGTTTCCATTGGTGTTATTTCTTGTTTCATATTTCTATATATTACTTAGGTGGTTGGTTCTACAATGAAGGACTGGGCAAAGTCTCAGTAGTCCACTGCTATCGTCATATTCTCAGTTCTGTATTAATAAGTTTCAGAATCCTGCTTGATAGTAGCAGTTTTTAGTGGAATCTCGGACATGGAAGATGTGAGGACAAGAATACATCTACAGGTATATTTGAGCACTTGCCATTAATGGAGGGCTCCCTTGAGATTTACCTTTTTTGCCTATTCAACGTAATATCATCTGAAACTTGTAACTGTTGTTGAGGACATATATTATCTTACATTTGATGATCAAGAATAGATGGGCTAAAAAAGCTACCAAGAAACCTCCTTAGCTCTGGTATATCAGGCTGAGTCTATATGGTTTGTAATACACGTGCGTTTGTTGCCGCAACTGCAATACCATGACCCCGCCACAAGCAACTTACCTCAGCATTCATGGGGATAGCAACATCGTGCCGAACCTTTGGTGCTCAAGATGAGTGTCGGTGCTATGGACACCGATAGCATTCTGAAGTCCCATGGTATCAATTTGACGCAAGGATGATACTTGGCTGGCAAGCATGAATATGCTGCCCAGCTTTATGGGTCCAAACTAGCCGCACATCTGTAATTTCCAAAAATAAAATGATCCCCGATGCCTTTCAAGCCTATGTAACTAATTTATCTACTTTTCGAATACATATTTGGACGTTCTCCACGATCTATGTTCCACATCACTAGAGTAGTTGGAAACGAGAGGCTTGGAATGGGATGCGTTTTTATGATGGGTATTGTTGCCGTGAAATGGAGCTAGTGGACTCCATTGCATTTATCGGCTTGCGTGGGTACTATTGCCGTGAAATGGAGAGCTAGTGGACTGCATTGCATTTATCGGCTTGTGTGGGTACTGTTGCCGTGAAATGGAGCTAGTCCACTACAAGCAAGTTTCTTCAATTCTAGCACATGCGATAGTCTGTTCTAGCCAGTTTGATTTGCTATCTTCGCCTTTTATTGTGAAACCTTTTATCTGTGTCATAGGCTGGCATGCCTTTGATATGACTGCAATTGCGTGAGGATTGTCTTATGACGAATGAAGTTGGTAAATGTGTAAAAACCAGCGGTACGATGGTTCAAAGAGGCTCTCATGCTTTAGTTTGTGTCTTCCGGCTAACTCATTGCTTTATTATAAATCAAATATATGTGATGTCTCTTTTGTACGAAATACTTACTTGACTTCATGCCTGAGAGTACTAACTTATATTTAGGAACGGAGGGAGTACTAACTTTCTATCTTTGTGTTTATAACTCCTTAAATAAGATCTCATCTCTTTATTTGATTGGATGACATAGATCCGTTGTATACAATACAGTTCCGTATGCTACACTTGACGTGGCCGCTAACCATGTCCATAACTTGAGCTCGGGGTTGGGCCCATGCCTATGGCAAGGATTCTGGTTCTAAGAACAACCCAATGAAAATGGGTGAAGTAAAAAATGAAGGTCTTTGGTTATGTGGACCGAAATGGTCGGTGCATATTTTTAATCCACAGCATCGCAAGCAGTAGTTGTGATTGGTGTGTTTGGACGAAATAGACATGTAGGAGTTGCCGGTTGACTGGGAATAATTGTATCAACCCAAAAAATTAATCCAATTTGGAACCACGACCATCTGTGTGACAGTACGAACATCAAGCAGTCTAATTTACAATGACTATGCATCATTGAATTATGGAACTGACCTTTTTAGCTTTAATTGATCTGTTCTTTCTTTGTGCGTAGGTTCCGGTTTTCTATCTGAATGTTCAGGATCGGCCGGTTAGCAACAACTTTTAGTGGAATCTCCAACACGGAAGGTGGAAGCATAAGAATACAAGTAAGGGTATGTCAAGTGCATGTGACTCCATATGATGCTCTTTTGATATTTACTTTTGTACGTATTTGACATAAATTAGATGAAACTTGAAGTTGCAGCTGAGTATAGAGGCTCTCTTATTACAGTTGATGGTCAGGACATATGAGCTAACAAACTTGATCGTGGCCAGCTAGTGGATGTACAATGTTAACCCGAATTGAGATATTCTCAACTAGGGTACAGGTGTCATTGTTGCTACAAGTACAACTAATCACACCACAAGCAACATGCAGTGGCGGGGATTCCAACATGAAGGCAAACCTTTTGCTCTCAAGATGGAGGCGGATCCCTTCAACATGGTGCCCCAAAAGCTGTTCTTAGACTAACAAGAGCAAATTAATCAATCGCACGCATGAATTGCCCAACCATAAAATAATTCCTGGTGCCTTTCAAGCCTAACAACTCACTCAAATACAACATGGTCTCTACTCTCTTCATATAAGAATGATCTCCATTCATCATCACTAGACTATCCAACTCGAATATAAAGAGGCTTAGAGTCCCTATGTTTATATGTTGGGCTTTGTTGTCGTGAGATGCTTCGCTGCATTGCATTTATCGCCTAGTGTGAATGTACACCTCTTCATTTTTAGCACATGCAATACTCTCTTCTTGTCAGTTGCTATCTAAAATAAACCTGCATTTACGCATACCATCTCAGAATATGTCATCTGAGCCACTTCAATCGGGCAACACAAGTTAACCCTACCATCCTAATCCATGACACAAGTACCACACACAGTAGCGGATGGCGGGTGATCAGGCCCTGACAAGGCCTCCCTGCCAGTTTGTGACACCCCCGATTTAATCATACACTAATCATACACACAAACATGTAT